CTAAAATCTATGCCTGACAGCTTGAGTGAAGGATTTCAAACCTGAACCAAAAATACAATAAAAATGCAAAATTTTACGTCGTTTTCAAAGTGTTTACTTTTCAGATCGTACTCCTATATAACATATGAAATGTTCACAGAATAGCATAGCATAGCCTGCGTAATAGAAGCTTGGCTACTGCGCCTGCTAATTTGCCACGCATTACGTTACTGCCGAAAGTGGAAAAAGCTCCCAAGTGCCTATTTTAGTATATTCTGGGTAAAATATCCGTCAACGCCTAAGCTATTATTATTACCTTTTTCGCACTTGTGCAGGTTAAGTGTTTGTTCACGTTGTGCGTCATCAATATTAAATCGCCATTATCAGCCTTGTCCCAGATGACCTTCAACTTGAGAGCTTACAAAATATCGCTGAACTTGGCATTGCATTTTATGGAAGCTTAGAGATATTTCCGTTAGTGTAGGTCAGTGTAAGGAAATACAATTCAGCCACATTGATACGTAAATATATATTTAGTAAACATAATTACATGGCCTTCGTTTCTCGAGAGTGTCCCTATATGTCGTGTGTCGTGTGTCGTGGGTTAAAAGTCGTGTGTAAAGTCGTGGGTAAAGTCGTGGGTAAAGTCGTGGGTAAAGTCGTGGGTCATAAAATGCATTTTTTCACGAAGATATTATTTTTATTTTTAATATTTTTTTCGTACTTTTTCCATTTATACACTAGATAAATACAGGAAAATTTAACGCAACAAATCTCCAGTAATAAAATAATTTCTTATCTTGCTGTTATCTATAGTATAACCTGGTATAACAAGTAAATGTTTGATTATGTTTCCGTTTCTTATAGTCTAATAAGCCTATAGAGTATAAATGTATTGTTTGATGTATAAATGTATTGTTTAAGTTATATGATATAGGTTTATTAGCTTTGGAAGTGTTATAGTCCCTATCATGAACGTCGCGAATAATTATGTCGATTGCATATGTCTGATACAAACATATGAGCTATAATTATAAATTTTACGCTGCAGTGCCTAGTATCAAATTAATAGTGGCCAACGCTCGAGCCTCAAATTTTGCTATTTTATCTCCTAGACCTAGTATATGTTCGTGGCCCTTAAAGGTATAGACCGAAACATTTCATGTGTATGTGGCGTTCGGAAATATTCCATAAATTGCTACGATTTGGGATTTCCCGATTGAAACCCGAAATGATTTGTGCGATGTCGGGCTAATTGCCAACCGAGCGCGCTAGCCGCTCTTATTTCGACAGAATATCATACCTCTACACTTTTCAGCCGTAATTTTCAGCGCGCATTGTAATCATATACATATCGTTTAATTTAGCTTCAAAAACTTGATAAAAAACATGTTATTCGTGTTCGTTCCCGCGGAGCGCAATGGTATCATAGTCAGTTGCCAAAGGCAGAGCACATGCAAAGCCGCCTCGGTATCAGTAAATCATGTATGTAACGGGAAATCTTGCTTATTTCAGTCTAATAAAGTCAACCTTTTTTCTTTGATAATGTACGCAACATGCTGCGCATTTTACATTTAACAAAATAAGTTTTTGAAGCTAAATTAAACGATATATGAATACGTGATTACAATCCGCGCATTTGTATTGCGGCTGAAAAGTGTAGAGGTATCATATTCTGTCAAAATAACAGCGGCTAGCGCGCTCGGTTGGCAAATAGCCCGACATGGCGACATCGCACAAATCAATATCATTTCGGTTTTCAATCGCGAAATCCCAAATCGTAGCACTTTATGGAATATTTCCGAACGCCACATACTCTTACTCTTTCAATTTATGGAATATTTCCGAACGCCACCTGCATCAGACAGACATAGTTATTCGCGACGTTCATGACAGGGACTACTGAACACTAATTCCAAAGCTAATAAACCTACATCTTAATATCCTATAACTTAGGACATTTTATCATCAAACAATACATTTATAGATTTCTTAGACTATACGAAACGGAAACATTTACTTGTTATACTATAGATAACAGCAAGATAAGAAATTATTTTATTACTGGAGATTTGTTGCGTTAAATTTTCCTGTATTTATCTAGCGCATAAAAGGAAAAAGTACGAAAAAATATTAAAAATAAAAATATGAAAAAATGCGTTTTTAGCACATTTTATGACCCACGACTTTACCCACGACTTTACCCACGACTTTACCCACGACACACGACTTTTAACCCACGACACACGACATATAGGGACACTCGTTTCTCAACGATACGATACCCCCACAACATTTTGCAGGGAGCTTGGAAGATGCGCAGCAAGACTTAGACGGATGTTGACATATAGGTGTTGCAAGGCTTTTATGTGGAATGGAATTACAGCAGATTTACTTCTTAAAAGTCTAAATTTAATACGACACGTAAGGCACTGTAGTTTTGCGCAATTTCATATAGGCAAATTTTGGAATTCAGTAATTGCGAACTGCAAAAATAATCAGCTTTCAAAAATTAGTAGTCCCTTTTTGACAACGTTAACACAAAAATTGGCAGGGCAATCGCAACAGCTTGCGCCAATTACTGCGATCCCTAAATGTCCTAAATGTTAGACAAATATAGGTACATAGAAAAAATAAACTATATTACTAACAAACTATCACTTCCATTTTCGGAAGCTGACTGAATCAGATGATATTTGAAACCCTTACAATCCTAAACCTTCAGATGATACAAGAGATAAAAGTGTAATTTAGTACAGTACCAGGGAACTGTTAAACGTTTGAACACTATAATTCACTTCCCTCAAAGACCTCAAATATTTCTTACAAATTCTTCAAAACTTATTTACCTATGCAAAATTCCAACTGTGAAAAACAAGGGACGCAAATGACGGAACTCACGTGATGAGCGTTGAACGCTGCGTTGCTGTGGTTTTGGCCCTCAAGCGTTGCGCATTAGCATAATTTTCATCAAACCTGTCAAACAACGTGGATCATATTTTCTTGTTGTTTTCGCTCAGGCAGGAAACGCCCGATATTAATAATCATCATCATGTCTTCGCGTCCGTGCATCAAAAACACCTGCGTAGAGGATTAATTTATGCAAAAAGGAGATTCCCCCAAATTGGCAAAAATTGAACGGAATTCATAAGGCATGTATAAACATTGAAATGTGACTGTAGTTTCCCAAACATTTTCGATATGTTTTGCATAGTCTAAATTTCATTCCACAGATAAAACCCCAAACATTTATCAATATAATATAATGTACACAAGAGAAGATTCCCTCAAAATTGAAATTTCTTTTTATCAACTGACATCTACATACATTTGATTGCATGTGTAAAATACATCGAAAAAAAAATGTTTTTGGAATCTGCAATACATATTAATACGCCTTCAACATAAAAATCTATAAACACTTGTATTACTATAGCAAATTTAGCATAGGCAAATTTGGACTATCATTATCAAACATGTTTTGAAACTAGAAAGTAAAGTTAGTATTACTCCAGTTGAAAAACACCCAAACCAGAAAATGTTTGGCCCGTTCATACACTTGCAATTTTTACTGCGAGTTTAGGTGCGATTTTCGCCCTCTGATGGATGTGAACGAGTGGGCGAGTAATGAATGTTGAGATACGGGAACATATTTTCAGAACATTCGTGACTCATCTGCTCGTTCACATACATCAGAAGGAGAAAATTAATCGCACAGCGTAACAACATTTTTTTACAGGTTGCTCTATATATTGACATAACGTCATAGCGATTCCCTCAAAAAATTTTAACTTCAAGTGCATTATATAAAATACGTCGAAAAAGATAAATGTTTCTGAAGAAAGAGATTAAAACTCATATATATATATATAAGTGAAGATTTTTAAGACCATTTCGGCAATTGGCTCTATTGTGCAAAGGTGACGAGCGTGCAATATCGTTTACGGGTTATCCTATTGTGCGTTCTCGTCTAAATTATAATGAGCTAACATCAGAATCTCATTAAAGTGGAAAAAAAACTAAGAACATATACGGCGAAGCGTAAAGTAATAGAAACCAAGATAGAACCACTAAGAAATATAAAGCCTTCTAAAATACGATATAGAAACTCAAAATTGACATTAATTTGAATTTAGAAAAAAAATGTTTAAATTTTTTTTTTCGTCGGATTCACGCTTTATATGCTTAGCTTATATTAGTCGAGGAGAGAGAATTACCATATAATTGTTGAAATTTGACACAATATTTTTTACGGGCTTAATATGGGCATTCTTTCCTTTGTTGAATTAAATCCGAATCATAATCAGAAATCGAACAAAGATTACGTAAATATAAGGTATGTAAAGACGATAGAACGAGACGTGGGCCATACGGGTCAGATTATGGAAATTTGAGATCCATAAAATTAGATTCATATTGCCAAGCACAGAAGAGCACCGAACGAACATGAATCCAAAAGAAATATATTAAAGGAAAAAAAATTCTAAAATGGACGCTACAGATTCGAAAGCTTCGTTCGAATTTTAACGATATGGAATATATTAAGAAATAGGCTGCAACATTTTTGCGAACTAAAGAGCTCTTTGTTTCAACTTAATATTTCTTCGCCCATTAACGATGCGGCGCTGTTCGGCCAAAATCAGCAAAAATTTAAAATTCAAATTAATGCCGACATGTTTTGAAAGTCTAAAGATGTGACAAAATTTGCAAGATGTTTTCTGGCCATTGATAGACTACGACAATAAGCAGGCCATCCAATAAGGGTTTCGGGGTTTTTCACTGACTGCTAAAAATAAATATGCAGTTCCGCCGTCGCGTTGGCAAAGATTCTTCAATGATAAATTATATTTGACTTCTTAGTTTCGTTCATAACAACAATATATTTTTTCTAGGCATTTCTATGGCGATGCAAAGCGGGGTATACTTGGGCTAAATTTGACACAATTGAAGTAATTTAATCGCGGTTTAAAACAACGTACAATGAGTAGATTTTTAGTGATAGTTTGAAGGATGGAATCAGCTTACCCTGAAATGATCCGTGTGAATCGGGGTCCAATGCAGTCCATCGCTACTCCTATAGGAAACGCAGCCAGCGAGGATACGGAGGTAGCAAGAGTATATGCCAAATTGAGCATCTCTTGTTGCGCGATGCAATTGTTGTTCTCGGTTGCATTGCGGATCGGTTGTACATGTGAAGATGAATTTGTACTGTTCCATTGTAACGAAATCACTGGATTTTCGTCAATACAGAGATGAGAGTAGATGCCTTCCTCGACCAGCACATAGACCAGCGATGACCAGCCAGTTTGGAAGCCACAGAACATCAGCGTCTCGAACATGCTGGTAAGGAGAAAGATCCAATCTCCGAATTCGAAACCTGAAGACATCTTCTCGATGGACTCCCTTCAGCTGCTGAGCTGTTCCGCAGTTCGTAAGGTCGAGGAATACTGATTCTCCAAGCCGGATTCATATCTGCGGCTGCCTCCTATGAAATTTGAAACTGGTTCAAAGAGCTCGTCAAACCAGATTTAAAACAAGACGATTACGGGATCCGCGCGTCTCTGCTGCTGCTGGGGGGGATGGGCATATTACTATTCACAGGGTGGCATTTTGAAACTATATAGGATAGTTTGAATTCTGGTTTAATAAAATGTGCTATTCTCATTACAAATTTAATTGGTTTTTGTTCGGCTAAAATGCCTAAAGGGCATCATCAATTTCATAGCACATCCATACATGTTAGCATATTCATACAGAGGCTATTATATCATTACAAGGAAATATAATATGCATAAGTTCATAATGTGAATTCAACAACAATAATCTGCGCTTATATTTTACATAGCCACAAGAACATTAGAAACCAATCTTATAGCTATATTATTACGAGTCATTGGACTGAAATTGCAAATATAGGGTATCATCTATTTTATATCGCAGTTTGTAAAGTTCAGTGCCTATTATAGATTTATATAACCTATTATCATGAGGAAAACGTAATTTGCATAACTATATTCATCTTGAAACCTTAACAATATATTGTACATGTTTCGTACAAATTCACAAGAACGATACAAATCATGTAATTTTACGTTTTTTGTTAACTTTATTTGAACTTGCATATAGATAAACCTGGCTTGCTGAAGACTTACCTGTTGAGTATATAGGCCCAGTTCATTCACCCAAGCCTGCAAATTTCAAGTTAATATAATGTTTTAAATTTGAATATGTTCTAAATATGGACTTGAACTCGTGCGGTTTTAATTACTACGGCCTATTGTCAATTGATTGGATCGAATGTAAATTACTGAGTTTTATACGCGATAGAAGTTTCTATTTTTTGTCTTCGAAAGAGTTTGACGGTGAAATACAAACGTCCAAGACAAAGACCCTTTAACAGAATTGCGTGTTTTCTAAAACGTTTGACGTATATATACTCTTGAATAAAAAAAGTGAAGTGCCTAATTCGAACGTGTATGTCGTTTACGCATATTAAAGATTTGTTCCTTCGAAAGGGGGTACGTGACACTACTGGCACGCACCATTTCATAAAACACTGAAATCATACTCATTGTCTCATTGATGAAAGAATTTTCACTAATAGTTTAAACCTGAAATGATATTTTGCTAACAAATCACAATCATACTTCGAGTTTAGCCTGCAAAGCAGGCGCTCGCGGGCTTAGATTAAGTTCTGAAATAGCAAATCCAGAGGTTTTTGCGTGGGTTCAAAATAATAGTGAACGTTGAACGTAAGCCAGCGACGTATTTGTCAACTGATGGACGTCACCCGAAAATTGGTATGACTAATTTTGGCTGCATTTTGCATCATAGCCATAGGCATATATAGCGCTCGTGAAGCAAAAACTGCTTTAAAAATCTAATGTTTTGTCATGTGTGTTGAAGATTAGCACAAACTGAATTCTCAGTCGCCTCTCGGCATCTGACGTCTGTGTGTTGACAAAAGTGTAGCTTGTTTAAAACTTTAAAAGATCCCTAATGAATAATGTGGCCTGCCCCCGCGCCACTATTAATGGGTCTACATATAAAGCCATGTACAGACCGGTAATTTTTCGTTGACAAGATTTCCTTGACGGCAACTGTCATTTGTTCGCGTGTATACGCACTGAAAATGACAAATTTCCCTAGAAGAAGCCATGTTCCAAAGCTATAGTCATGTCAGCTTTTGGACAGGGAAAATTTATTCGCAAACTACAGTACGGCTGCCAAGTTGACAAGTCGGTACAAGAAATACTTATACGATTTTGGCAGCCCTGACGACTGACAAGCGGATAAATGTTTAACAACATTCGGTTGAGATGAGCAACAAAATTTGTCATTAAGGAAACTTGTCAAGGAGATCTTGTTGATCATACACACGAGAAAGTGAACTTGTCAAGGAAAAGTTCGTAACCCTGTGACCTTACACGGCATTTACACCCACAATTCTCTATTTAAGGACACGTTGTCCAGGAGCACAAAAGTAAAGAGTAAAAATTTCTTTTGTCAACGGAACTAATATACTCGAACGGGCACAAAATTTATATCGTGCCTATATTATCGAACAAGTCACAAGACGTTAATTTGAAATTCAAAATAATACCTGCTCACCAATTACACGGTTTGCCGGGTTTTACAAGTTTAACTAGCTTGTTAAGTTTTGTGCAAGTTTTACTTGTTAAATTAGTCCGTTTTGCTTGTTTCTGAAAACGAGTTATACATGTTACCACCGTTTATTTCAGGGAAATTGGAAACAAAATTGAAACATACCTTTTAGGCGTTAATGAATAATGATCAAACTTTTACATTCTGATATTGATTTCAATTGATATAGTCTACAAAATAGTTTGACAAAAAAATCATTGTTAGCACATAAAGTTATAGGACTAGGGACAGAATAAGAGTTTGGACTCGATTAGGTAATGAAAACTCGATTTATATCGATTATAGGATAACAGTATATGTATGTTAAATGTATGTTAACAAGCGGAGAAACCCTGGGAACGAGGTTGCCATTAATGTTCCAAAGGATCGCGGACTCGGGGTACGAGATTGCCATCTGGGTACGAGCTTGCCACTGAAATGGTAATTCAGTTATAATTTTTCCTGCGATGGATCAGAGAGTTGGGGTCACGGCTAAAAATGTCTCGAAATTCACGTTTGCATGCAATTCCACATGGCCTTTTTACTTTCACGGCGCCGTTTTCAAGGTCGCGTAGGCGCGTGCAGAACCATGTGATGCATAAACATGGCACATGTAAATATTTATATGAGCGGCGTCCTGGTTGCCCTTTCATCAGTCAGTAGGCATAAATTAATATCATAATTCAAGGTAATATTGGTTTACTATTATCGTTTTTTTTTTAAAAAAAATAAACATAAATTCCGTGATGTCTCCGCTGTGCGCTATTTAATTTACGATTGATTACGGTTCACCTCAGAGATCGTGGGTTCGATTACAGCTGCGGACTCATGTGAAAAAAGTCAGTCAACGCTCTGCCGAAAGTCGTGGGTTTTCTCCGGGTGTTCCTGTTTCCTCCCACAGGGAAAGTTGACAGGCTGGGTTAGGATTAGCCCCGAACTACCCCTTCTGTAGCTGCATCTGCTACGTGATCAGACATATACGAGTCATATGGTGGCCTATAATACCTATAGTTGAAAGATTAGTACTTCAACAATAAATTTCCGAAATATATACTGAAGACATGTTTTTTTTTTCATTTTGTGAACTTTGATTTAATGTAAAATTTAACCTGAAAAAGTCAGTATAGTGGCTGAGAGTTTGTCCATCTATTTCCTTGTCAGAACCTAGCGAATAATTTTATAAAAGCAACACTACCACCTAGCGCGCAAGCTTGAGCTGTTATTAAAAGCAGTTGGAGACGTGACAAATGTTAAATGAAACGGATATATGGCCAATAAAGGATGACGAGTTTTTTAAGTGCTTTCTTCCTCTGACCTTGGCCGAGTGGGACGGGGACTGCGTGGTGGAAAAGGTTACCATATTTGGTCTTGATCTGAGAAGTTTCGGATCTAGCCTGCATCCGAAGGATCTGCCCGCAAGGCGCTAGTCCGTCTTCGATATACTCGTTCCAAAAATGCACACTGACTGACTGACAATAGACCTTTCCCCTTATGAGTGAAATTTTGATCTAGATATGCCTGGACAAAACTTTCATCACAGCTTGTAAGAGCATCACAAAATTAGTAATATTCCAAAGTTTCGTTGCGAAATGTTGTAAAATGCGGATAATATAGCCTTGCGAAGTATGCCGTTTTTCAGTCATTTTGTATTACAAATGGGAAATCGGTAGTTTTTATTGAAATTTTTAGCATAATCGGCAATATGATACCTTACTTCCCATCATCCCCTGCAGGCATAAACTAAAAGCTGGAATTGCCTATTAGATCAGTTTGTTATAGATTTTGGCACTGTTGTCACAGCTGTTACTGTGCACATTTTTTGTACTGTTGTTACAGAATTTTGCACTGCTGTTTGAGATTAACTGCACTGAAATGAAACAATCACAGTCGAGTAATATTTTTATGTATATTATTAGTGACATTACAATAAATTTGGATCGAGTTTCAGGCCCAAAATATTCAATAACTTGAAAATGTCATTTCATATTTATAATTGGTGTTTTTCTTTTTGTGACTCGATTAAATAATCAATAATAAATATCATTCTTGTTAATAAATACAATATTAAACTTATTTTTTGAATGTAAGAAAACTTAGAAAAGTGAAGCCAAGTTGGAGAAATTGACGTCCAACAGCTATGAAAGTCCTAAACAATGTTAAGACCATTTTCCTTAGAGAATTCCAGATTGTTTCTAACGAACTGTATCACTAAACAAGTAATCGATTCATAAAACCATAGTGTTATTCTTTATATCGAAGTCAAAATACGAAATTTCGGCTAGGGGTTTCCACAAGTTGCTCGGCAACTTTTTGGCAACTTTTCATTTTATGAGCAACTTTTGTTTTAAACGGCAGCTTTTGTAACTTCGAGCAACTTTTCATGAACTTGAGTCAAATTCATGAAAAGTTGCTCGAAATTACAAAATTTGCCGTTTAAAACAAAAGTTACTCATGAATGAAAGGTTGCCAAAAATTTGCCGAGCAACTTGTGGAAACCCCTAATTTCGGCACACTCTGTTGCCAGCTTTATGTTAACCGCGCAGACAAAAACAATAGAAAGGAACTGGAACCGACCTCCAATAGCCCGTCGATTTTCGCCATCTTGTCTTCACTTTTTGGACAAAAGTTCTCGCTCCAGTTATATATCGAGCTCAGTGGCAAGTACTTCACAACGTCAGTCTATTTCTTCAACCTCAAGTCACAGAATAATTACATACAGGGGTCTCACTTCTGCGAAAAAACCGTAAGGTAGCTTTTACTGTGCATACCTGGCAGACATGTTCTTACCAAGTGCCGTAAAGAGAGGCATTCACCCCCCTGGAACGTTAAATTTCAATATGTTTTCAGGGGGGTGACGACTTCTCTTTAGGGCACTTGCTAAGAACATGACGGACAGGAAAAATCCCTTACGCTAAATCAACCTGACGTGAAACTTCTGTATGTAGTTACTCTGTGTTCAAGCCCTCTCCTTTCCCAGTTCTTTTATTTTCAATCCCTGTGCCACAGAGTGATGTAGGTACCTACCTTGGTGTGTCATTTTAATAAGTTACCTTGACCATTACTTGAATACTGCAGATCATAACATGCATGTATGAATGCAATTCATTGAATAGCTTTCTCAACAACGATCGTAGCAAAATCCAGGATATCAGCTTCTGGTATCTGTGTGATGTTTGACAAGTGAGAGACAATCTGTAAGATTAAAAAAAGCTCATGTGAGATCTTACTTGTGAAGATTTGGACTTCACCATTTCAACTATAGACCAATCACCAATCATTGTCATAATCAACCAATCACAGAACATCTTCCTAGAGCTTCGTGCCGACCCTTGACCGGCCCCGAAATTTCCATCGAGCGAGATGCCCGGAAATCTTCAACTGATTCTAAACATACCCCATCACTAGATTGTTCATCCAGGACAAACGCCGCAGCAGCAATAACAGCACTTGCCAATAACATAAAATCCGAGGCCAGTACAGCCAACTTATGTCTATGATTCACAGATCTGTATGTTTCGCCAGTGGCGACCAACAGTAGCTTTGTATAGATCTCCTCGTGTAAGATGTAGACGAGATCTAGTAGTTTTATACTGATCTCATGTAGAAATTTCACTTGTGTTCCTGCATTGAAACCTAGAGGTTGGAAGAGTAAGCTAAGAAACCAAAATGAACATTTATCCTTGGTTTTCATTAGGCGGAATTTTGCGCGCGCATCGAGCGGAATTTTTCTTTGTCTTTTCTAATTAGTTTAGTTCCACCCGAGAAATCACAAGATCAAGAAAAACTGTTCCGCTCCGCGCTTCTCCGCGCGGAAAATTCCGCCTATTAAGAGCTTGTAAAGCTTAAAGCCGGTTTTCCACTAGGCGGAATTTTGCGCGCCGAGCGGAATCTTTCTTTGTCTTTTCTAATTAGTTCCACCCGAGAAATCACAAGACAAAGAAAAATTCCGCTCCGCGCGCAAAATTCCGCCTAGTGGAAGATAGGCTTTAAGAGCTTGTAGTTTTGAGACTCTACACGCGTAAACATAAGATATAAAGTAAAGTGTAAATATTTGCAAAACTCTGAGCAGTGAATGGGTCTCAAGGGGCTATAAGCCACCTGGTCTGCGTTCTGGTTAAAATTCGGTTTCAATATAGTTTGACTCGATCTGGTTGAGCTGCTCAACTCAACTCTCAGCTGCAATTAAGGATGATTAGCACACACCCCACTTACTTACATACATTAATTAACTACAAACCTAAGATTTCCAGAACAGTTTCAACATATGTAAGCGGAGAATAAACTGGAAGACAGTGATCAAGAGTTTTTAAAATTCTCAATTCGGATTTCAGGATACTGTTGTTGCTAAAATGATGATTTAGAGAGCTCAGATATCGTCGAACTTTACTTCCTGTCAATGCCTAGATAGGAAAATACAGAGAGGTGAAAATTATGTTTGTATAGAAGATCGCACAAATTTGCAACCGTACCAATTTCACAATGAAATTCGTACGGTTATACAGCTGATACAGGGTGTGTTCCAAATTTTTGCACTGTGAAAGAAACTTTGGCAATGAATGGCAGAATGGGTATACGAGGGGCTTTTTGGTGCAGTCGTCAGAGCAATTAGCGCCTTTCACCTCTGAGATCGTGGGTTTGATTCTCGCTACGGACTCATGTGAAAAGAGTCGGTCAACGCTCTGCCGAAAGTCGTGGGTTTTCTCCGGGTGTTCAGGTTTCCTCCCACAGGGAAAGTTGACAGGGTGGGTTAGGATAAACATAGTTAGCAAAGTAATATCACAATTGTTGTAGAGATAAAATAGTCTAGGCTAAGTATGTAATTAGGTAAGCGTATAATACTTGATGTAAAGCGCATTTGATTATATCCACATGTGAATTTGCGCCATAGAAATTCTAATCGTAATCGTAGGGTGGGGAGGAAGAATTAATTGGTAAAAATATTTAACTGGTAGAAATGGTAAGGGAGTTGAGCACTACCTGGTGTAAATAGCGAGCAACATTTGACATTTGATATAGTTAATATTAAGTTCTGTTATGGTTTATATAGACATTTAAGTGATGACATTTTTTAGTGACATAGGCGTTAGTTGGTTTAAAGGACGTATAGTTAGAGAGATTAACGTAAAGTTGTATGTTCGAGTCAAGTCCTACAGGGATCTACCCTTCAGGTACAGATGTTTAATTGTTTTATATGTTATATTTGTAGTATTTTGTTATTAGTCAATTTTACCATGTTATATGTTGCGAAAATATGATTGGAATGCATGTGTTTTAGCCTTTATACTTATACTAGGTAACTTTCATTTTGTATAGAATATATTATCTCATTAAATATTAGAAGAAATCCCTGTTCGACTCAGTAAACCAGTCAGTGCCAACCACTACCCAAGAGTCGAATCTATCAACAGCAAGGTTTAGATCCGGTGAAAGTACGCTGAGATTTCGCTAATTAAAATCCTACTTTACATCTCCTCAAATGACAAAGATTATTAGATTTAGTACTGGAATAACACGATCGTGACGTCACAGGAACTATGGAAAATTCCCATTTCATATTTCATAATTGATTTTTTCAAAACTGTAACCTTGAACTGAAGATTGAACGGACATACTATTAAATTCCGCTTTATAAGTGTTTTTACGTACGTATATACGGATAAAAAAGTTTAAATCCAATTAGGTTTTACTTGTGAAATAACTAAATGAAAGGAAAACATTATTTTGTTGATATATTATTATAATGATATAATTATAATAATATATCAACAAAAATATATCAGGCCCTTTGTAGCTGGCCAATAAAACAGTTTGCACCAACGCAGGCAGCCGAGAAGCCCTGGGAACGAGGATGAGTTTGCACCGTTATTAAAGGGGAAGATCGTATGCTATCCGGATCAAAAAGGCAACACTGCGATCATGATGTCACAAAAACTTGCAATATTTCCTAAAGCGATTTGCAACAGTAATTCGGGAAATAGCACATGCATTAAGCCTGGTTCACACACTATCACAGTAGGAATTTTGTATCAGGTAAATTCTAATGGTTTTGAACTCGGATTTGCAAGAAATGTTCGAGGGAAAGAACACAGTGTAAATCAGTTTCCTCTGAAAACATTTCTTACAGATCCTTCAAATTTCAAAACTTAGAATTTACCGATGCAAAATTCCTATAGGGGTCATTCACAAAGGATGTCCGGCCAAATGATGGATTTTCAGACCCCCCCTCGGCCCTCCCCCCTTGTCCGGCATTGTCCGAATTAGTGACCCCTCCCCTCGGACATCCACCATGCCTCACAAAAACTCACACAACCTTGTATATGTCAAGAGTAAAAAAAAACTTCTTTTACTTTTAGAACTTTTTTATAACTATAAATGTGAATACAAAAACATATAAATTACTAATTGAAACAAAATCTAGTGTTAACCGCACAGTCAAAATGCCAATTTCACAATGAGAAGGACTGCTCAAAATAGAGGGAAAAAGAAATTTGTTTTTGAATTTTTTTAAATTTCGGACATCCGGATTGCTACCCCCCCC